CATTCGATCCCAAGCACCAGAAGCCACATATTGCAGACCTGTGGGAGAACTCCAAGGTCCCATTATAGAAAAATTCTCCATTGGGCCCACATGTAATATTTAGACATGTTGAGTTAGCTGCTAGAACCTGATGTCAGTAAATTTCTCGTAAAACAAGAACCTGCAATTTTTCTTAAACAGTAAACAAAACCTGGCAAGGTTAGGCCACAGGTTTCATTGGCAACAAAGTTGGATCTGAGCTCTAAGCCCACATTTCTGTTCTACACAGGCTGCTCCTTCCTTGCCTGGCAGCTGAAGGCACTGCCATTGCGACCCCTGCTGGAAGGCTACCAAAAGGCAGGCAACATGCAGGAGAAAAAAATAATAGAAAAAAAAATGTCCTTTGGGATCTATTTCTGTTATGTTTAAGCCATTCCTTGGAAGAATAATGTATTCATTTTTTTCTAGTCCTCTCCTGATAGCACATAACTATTGACAAACTATGGCCCAGTAAATATTATTCTAACGGCCTGCAAAAGCTATGGACTTAATTCCCTGTGGGTGGAGGGAGCTGAGAAGGCTGCATGCCAGAGGCAGTCCTGAAGATGGATCGTGGAGGCTGTGTGCATCAGCTGCTTACAACACTGCTTGACTCAGACACAAAAGGGAATTTGTTTGAAGACTATGTGTTGCCTCTAGAAACTAGTGAGATGCTAAAAATCCAGGATTGGAAAATGAGAAGGAATGAAGGGAAAAAGACTTCAGGGATCATGTCAAGATGGTGCCCTAGGAATGATTCCACTGGGAGCACATCTTGAGACGTGGCTGCTGCTGCTGCTGGTGCCAGCCACTACATCCATGACCCAAGTGGGTGGTAAACACTCAGCAGTTCCTGTGTCCTTAAGCTGCTCCCTCCAGATTCCAATTCCCTGGTGGGATCATTTAACTCAGCCTGAGTTCAGGCCTTCAAGGTACAAACTAGGAAAAGAAACTCCACATCCAACTGGGAGCATCTCTCTGAAGCAAGACAGTGAGGTTCTCTATAGAAGATGATAAATTTGGTTGCTGGGTATCTTCCAGCCACGTAGTAGGACTTTGAGTGGTGATAGAGGGAGAATCACCCAAAGCAGTACTGAAGACTGTAATGAGAACACATAGATCTGAATTCCATTCTGGAATCCTCTGTACCTTTAGAACACTGACAACATTTCCTAATCTGCAGATTCTCAATTGTTAAAATAGAAATGATGCCATCTGCTCTCCTGAATAGCTGTGAAGATTCTGTTCAATCATTCATTCACTTTTCCAAACACATTTATGGACTGCCTATTAAGTGCGTGATACTGAACTAGGCTCTGGGGACAAATTCCAGAAGGAAAAAAAAATGAAAAAGAACGAAAAGCAAGCACTCTGCACAGATGACCAAGTTAGACAAGGGAGACCCACAAAACTGGTCATGCTTCACTCTCCCCCAGCTGAGTCATTTTCTTTAACTTTTCTTTGCTTTTGATTAAGCAATATTAAGTCTCTCCCTCCAAATATATCTCCTAAGAAACATGTACATACTGAATTTAAAAGCAAAACTACAGCAAAAAAAAAAAAAATCCCTAAAGGACAAGGAAGGTATATCAGCTGGTAGAGCTATTGGCTAGCACACTGGTTTGAAGCCCAACACCAGAATGACCAGAGGCTATAGCACATGGAATAGGGAGCAAGAGGGCCAGGTGATGTTCAAGGTCATCTTAGACAACATAGCAAGTCCGAGGTCATCCCAGGATACATGACTATCTCAAAAAAGATGAAGAAAGAAAACAACTCTAAAACTGAATACTGATCCTGAAAATTAAAATTATAATTCTTAGAAACAGTGGGGCTCAGTGCTGATGTAATTCATGTAGAATGCACATAAGGCAAAATTTATTTAAATCTGCCCTCATTTAATGTTTAGGGCGTGTGATGAACTCAGGCATACCCCCAGTTACAATTAACATGAACATTTAGTATATATAAAATACAAATGCCAGAAAGGCAAATCAGCTAAACAAAATTTCACAAGTATTATGAAGTTGGTGAAGTGTCTTTTATGTGCATTTTGTCACTTCCTTTTAATCATTCTCCAGTCACTAATCTGCAGGAAGGACTGTGAGGTTTAGAGAGAGAACACAATTGGCCTAAGGTCATGGAGCCAGAAGTTGGCCTTACCAGCCCATAGTCTCTTACTTTCTCTTTTCAGAAAGGCAGCCTGGGCAGAAAAGCAGAGGGCTCAGTGCCCAGGCTGGAGACTAGGAAACAGCAGTGTTGTTCTTTTCTAATCTCAGCTGCAAAGCCCCTACCTTCTGAAACATCTAGGAAGCCAGTAGACTTATCACAAAGCAGACAGGAAAGTGCTAGGCTTCCCAGCTCAGGGCCCTGGAACTGGTATCTAAACACTCATGACAAGCACATGCTAAAATCCATTAAAGCACTCACATGTTTCACTTTCCCTGCCTCCAAATTTAATGACCTAGGAGAGAACTATCTCGGTGCTGCATGCCACCCAGGTTGTGTGCTCTGTTTCAGAAAGTCAGAACTCACTAAATAGCACATAGCAGCCAATCCATTCCCAGCGGCTTTCAAATCGCCACTGAATTTTAACTTAAGACAAGAAAAGCTCCCAGGAAGCTTTTCCCTTCAGAGAATCCCTGGGATTTTTCAAGGCAGAGAAATTCTTTTGAGGATGAAAACACAAGTCTCAGCTATATAAAGGAGTTTGAGTAAGGCAAAGCTCACTCTGCTTAACAAGGTGTAGGAAGCAGATAATCTGCTGGAGGGATAAAGCTTCTGCTCCCACGCCAGCAGTAAGGGCCCTCCCTCAGTGTGTCCAAAATTCCCTTTGCCAGACCAAGGCATTACTTTCCCACCACCTTCTCTGTTCAAAACTTCCCATTTAAAGTCAAGGTGCATTGCAATACACAGCAGCTTGGCAGAGAAAGTGAAGCCCAGAAGCATACACAGCTCAGCCCTGCTCACTAAGACATCTTCTCTGGCTGCTGGCTAATTAACTGCAGAGACATAAGAGTGCTTAGTCAGGAAGTTGTCCATCCCTGTCGAACAAGAGTTAGATGGGTAACTGAGCCAACGAGGGGGGAGTGGGGGCTCTTTGAAATCCTTCTCCTATCTGGCTGTGGAATGGGGTGGTGTCAGAAGGGGGTTACCTTGCATAACACAAAGGTCCATTTCAACGTTATTTTTCCAGTTCTGTGAGTGGAAAAGTCTAAGCATGCTGGAAATAAAGAAAAACAGTGCAGCGATTTGAAGCTTAAGCATTCATCTGGAATTTTGGAAGGTCCAGCTAATTCTAACTGTACTCACCGTGGCTGGGAAAATAGACAGCAAGACTAATCCCCAGCATCAAAAGGAATCAGTACTTTAGAAATGCTGGGGTGGGGGTGCAGAAGTTGAGCTATCTCCATCTCCTTTTATTAAAAACTAAAGTTAAATATAGAGTTCCTGGAATTAACTCCTGGGTGGAAGCTGGTAATTGAATTTCAACAAATACATGGAGATTTTGAGGTCAAGACTGAGACCATAGGACCTTGTTCTCCATCCAGCAGCTGGTCAAATACCCAGGGCTGGGGCACAAGGGGACTGTGCTAGAGACCTGCTCCCCAGGGGTACGGGTAGTGCCTGGGAGCTAGGTCAGTTTTAGGTGCTGGTGGAGCTTTCCTGAGAATGGTGAACTAAGTCTGAAGCACGAGGCACTCTCTCCTTTTCCCTTGTCCACTCTTCCCTCTCCTCACCCAGGGTCCTAACAAGAGGCTGCTACTAGGAGAACAGCTTCAAGACAGTGGCTCCAGAGTTGCCTCCTTGGGATGCCCCCCAAAGCATCTTGGCATAGTTATGGATAAAAATAGCCCAGGATATCATAACACGGAGGGAAGAGGAGGAGTAAGTCTCGCGCAAGGCAAGGCAAGGATACCACAGCTTCTCCATAGTGGGATTAGAGAGAACATAGTCCGGAGGAGAGCCCTGCGTGTGCAAATAAGATAGGGTGCCTCCTTAGCTTAGGTTGTGCCATACACAATCTGAAGCACCCACAAATAATTGCTGAGTCTGGCACAACTCACCAATCTCGCTTCTCGCTTCAGGGATAGTTTCTCCATCCAACCACTGTCTTGAGCCCCAGGTTCTAAGAGCTTTCCCTCCAGTTCCAGTAAAGGCAGGTTCCAGCACCGGGAAGCAGCAGAGTCCACTGCTGCAAAGGCGGGTGTGTGAAGGGGGGAGGGCGCACCTGAAGAGGTCGGGCTATGAGTAAGCCCTGCTCATTCTAAAGGCAGTCTCCCCTGGTTCGTGTCCCAACAGCCTTAACCCCCATCCACCTCCTCTATCAGCGGCATCCGGTAGGAACCGGTATAGAAACCCAGGTAGGAAAAAAAGTAAAAAGTAACATGAAAATTCAACAGCCGTTTGTTACTGGCTTTCTTAATACTTACGGTCCTTCCTGCCACCTTCCTCTTCCAGTATCCCGGGAGACGCTCGGTCTCCGGTCTCCTCATTACAGCTACGGAACGCAAAAGCACACTAGACGAAGGCTTGTGCATCCCAGGTGCCCCATTCCGGAGTGACTCTAGTCAGCTGTCCCCCCCTGCCCAGTTCTCCGCCCCAAGTGGTACCCGGCTCAGTAAGCGCTGCACTCCAGCTGCACTTGCACAGGGTCCTAGAGAGAATCCGCGGCGCTGAGCAACGGGCAGTGATGGCTCTCCTGAGTCGGGTAGGGACATAAGTCCAGTTTTGTAAGAGTCAGAAACTCCAGCCCCTTATAGTCCAGCTTATGAATTGTAGAGATGAGATTCCAGGCCAGGGGACAGGAGGATTAGAAAAGCCCGAGTCTTCCTTCAGAGTACTCTTCAATCTAACAGCTTCAGCCTCCACTCACCTTAGGCTTTGCACTTGCCCTAAATCAAGACACAAGAAGGTGCCTAGGCAGCCCTAACTAGCCACTCCCCAGCCTGACACCTCTACCCCCAGCGCATAGAGCTCACCTGAGACGAGTACCCGTCCAGCCGGTCAGGCGCCCTCAATCGTCTCTCCGGCCCGGCCATGGGCAGCACCGCCTCTGAGCACTTGAGCCACTTGGAGCAAATCCCCAGTCACCTCGGGGCGGGCGAGAGGAAAAGGGACACAGGCACTCACCTAGAGAGACCCGGCGGTGGCGGCAGCTCGTGGCTGCAGAGCGCAGAGGACCTGGCAGACAAGCGTTTTGGTGCCGGATCCGAGGATGGGAGGAGCAGAAGGAGGAGCAGAAGCCGGAGGAGGGGACAGCGGAGGCCGACGCTCTGGGAGAGCGCGGAGGGCAGAAGAGGATCGCTGCCGCTCGTTGACTCCGGTGCTGCCCCGACTCCCGCTTTCCAGATCGTCCCTGCTAGCCGCCTTCCAGTGACCCAGCTTATTACCTGGCTTCTGAGCTTCTGGGTCCCGAAGGAGCCGTCTCCTCTGCTCACCCAGAGCGGGGGCTCCTCGGATTTCAGTCCAAGAGGAGATACCAGGGCAGCCTAGAGGGTGGGGCGTGTGGCTTGGGTGACTTCATCCACCTTGCAAACCCTGGACTCCCAGAGCGTTCCCTGACACCCGCTGGGTCTGAACCGGGCCGATACCTTCGTTACCCCGTTCGCAAACTCCTAGTGTTCCCCAATATCCTCGCAGGAACCATGAGTGTTCGCATCAGCGTTCCCTATCGGCAGGTGACCCGCCTTAGGATCCTGTGCTCCGTGCGCGGACCCGGAGGCCTCCGGAGCCATTCGCTCCATCTTGCGCTGCAGCGGGTACAGGAGCCGCTTGAAAAGCTAGCTTAGTGGGCCCTGTCTCTTTGAAACATCCTCTCTCTCTCCTTCGGTTTCACTCTCAAAAGAGAATTGGAACTTAACTAAGCGAGAGCGGAAAATTCATCTCTCTTTTAGCAAAAGTAACTAGGTTGGCAAATTTCACCTCTGGAACTAATCAAGGTCTTCTGCGTTCCAAAGCTGAGAGGTTCTGTGTGGACGCCAACCTGCATATTGTGATTCAGTTTAAGAAGTGGAGGTCAGCGGAGCTGGAATCTCCTTGGAGACACTGAGAGGCTTCAGCACAAGCAAGTCGCCTTCCAAAGCAGGTTACCCAAAGAAAAGAGAGGCAGGCTGGGGTAGGGGTGAAAGGAAGAAGAAAGAAGGAGCCAAATACAAATCAAAACAACTTCATTTAGCTTTTAATATCTTCCATATCTAAAAAATGAGAACATAAATATTTATCATTTGCATTTCTAGAATCAATATTCTCTCATTTAAAGGGGGAAATTCCTTTGGGAAATTGATCACTTTAAATGGTACAAAGGTTAGCCTCCGTCCTTTTAGAAGGCAAAGGAAAATCCAGTACAGTATACTGTGGCAGATAAAGCGAGAAGCATCTTGGAGACCTTAAACCACTTCACTTTTGAGTTAATGTAAAGTTGGCATGCCCATTTCAGGGTTTAAAAAAAGTTTATTTACAAAAGTCCCTTTAAATCTGCATCTTGAAAAGTCTTAGCATGTAAAGTTTACATTATATTTTTCTACCATTCTATGAAGTTGTGTAAAATTCTGTAAATGGCTGTCCTGGACTAATGGAGAGCTAAGATTAAAGGGTGGCCAATTACCAATTATGGTCTCCTTAAGCTCCTACCTGATACCCAGCCCAGTGTAGATCAGGAGTCCTTCAATACAGGGAGGGGTGTTGATGCCCTAAGTTGGTTAAGGTTACTTTTCCTATAGATCCAAAGTATTTTAATGCCTGATGCACAGTATGAATTTCACAAGTCATCCATGAGACACAAAGGGAGATTAGCAAGGATTCTTCTATTCACACCCTGGAAGTCAGAGGCCAATTAACCAGCTTTCTTAATTACCTACCACAAAACCTCAAAAGAAACTAAAATCCCATCCCTGGGCTCAGAGTCTCTGTTAGTCACCTCCCTTTGCAGAAGTGACTCCAGGCATGTCTGCAAGTAATCAGAATTGGAGTCCAGGCCTTACAGTTATCTGCCACCTCAACTTCCTTAAATACTTCCTGATCAATAAGCAATGTTCTTAGACTTATGTAAATAACAGCACCAATGGGCTTTTGTGCTGTTCTTTGGCTGTATGTGCTCAGACTTTCAGCCCCTTCCAGATGTCTTCTGGGCCTGGCTTCTGCTCACCCAGTGTAGTTTTCAGCTTTGTTGTATCACTTCCATACTGGATTGAACAGAATTGCTTTTGTATCTGTCTTCTCCAGGAGATTAGAAGAGTCTTGGACATGAGAAACCATGACATAATTATCACTTAACAGCCTTTTGTAGGTTGTCTGACATATAACGTAAGGCATAAAACAACAACAACAACAACAACAAAGCCAAAAAAACCCTAACAAACAAAACTCCAAATAACAACATCAACAAAACATACAACAAACACACAAACAAAAACATAGTAGTAGTCTGTAGGGGCTGGAGACATGGCTTACTTGTCAAGAGCCAGCATTGTCCAGCAGAGGATCTTCTAGCCTGACAGGCCCTGCTTCACAAACAAGTGTGCATATATAAGCCAGCACACATATAACCCCTAATGTGGAAATGAAAATAATTTTTAAGTTTATGTATTTGTTACTTTAAGGATAGTTTGACTTGGCCAGACAAGTTTGGATGTGAGAATTGAGGCACATAAGAGGCAAGCTAGTAACCAACCAGAAAAGCAGCTGTCACTCATGGTTCTATGAACCCAGCAAATCCCGCCAACTAGGAAACTGGAGTGTATTGCAGATGGTTTCTACACCACTAGTATTTAAGCTATTATAACAGTTTCTAGATATTTGATATGAGAGAGATGTCAGAAAGGTTTATATGAACAAGTTACCTTTTAGAGACTAATTAGCCCTGGCTAAACTGTAAACACTACCCACAGATCAAAGCTAAAGCCGTGAAAAGGAAACAAAAGCTGGAGACCTATGACTTTGATCAACAATCTGAAATAATGGTATTTAAGATAGAGCCTAGACTTGAGCCAGGTGCTGGGCAAAATGAATTATGTTCACTGCAAATACTCATTGTGTGTATGTGTGTGTGTGTGTGTGTGTGTGTGTGTGTGTTTGTTTGTGTTTGTGTGTGTGTGTGTGTGTGTGTGTGTGTGTGTGTGTGTGTGTGATATGTAGGTACACTTGTTGTAGTATATATGGAGGCTAAAGGTTGATTGGATTGGATGCCTTTTCTATATTTTGACACCCTATTTTTTGAGACAGGCTCTCTCACTAAACCTGGGAATTACCACTTTCCTATGCTGGCTGGCTGGTGTCTACCCTCCCCCACCAACCAAAGACTCTGCCTTTCTCCTCCTATCCTCAGCACTGGGTTCACAGATGCTTGGGAATCCAAACTCAGATCCTTACACTTGCAGGCAAACACTTCACTTTCCAAGTCCTCTTCCCAACATGCATGGCTGTTCATACAGCAACCTGATTAGAAACAAAAAGTCCCCACTTTGCCAGTAGGATAACTTGGTCTGCACAGAACCTGTTAACCTGTTTAAGGTGACACACTAATAAGTTTCTCTTAACCATTTCCAGAGATCATTAACCCTTCTCTGCTTTGCAATTGAGTTAGTGCAGCAGGTAAAGTGGTTAATCTAGAGTTAAAAGTAGACTCATAGTCCAGTGCTCTCGACAACTGAATGATTTGCTTATGGTTCTTATTGGTATACTTTCCCTGTCTTTTCAGTGATGGGTGAGAAGAAGGTCAAGAGGAGAGGAGGCTGGGAGAGGAAGAAAGGAGGGAGTCTGCCTCTTCTGAGGACACCTAGGATTCGTTCACACTCACTACCTGGCCACAGTCAGAAAAATCTTACCTACAATCCCTGCCTATAGGGCTGCCCTATATCCTCTCTTCGAATAATGGATGTTTGAGTCTTTCAGGTTAATAGCCTGAATTTTAAGGAGTCCAGTGGGATTCTTTACAAGCAGTAGAAATTGGGATCAGGTTAAAAATCCAATTTTAATAAACTTTCCGGGTCCTGATTTAGATGGTGTGCTAATGGCTCTCTGTGCTGAATCACCTTAAAAGTCAAATGTATTTTTAAAAGGTTCTCCTCATAGGGGAGGCTTGATGGATATTGCTTAATTGTGCATTGTGCATTCCTGTCTTCATCAAAAGACATCATCTAAAATTGAAGTGAGCTGATAGGAAATGAAGCCATCCTTTGAGCCAGTTGGTTACAAGGAACACTTTGGGGTTGCAGGATAATTTTCACTCCTTTTGACCACAACAAAGAGAGCATGATTACACTGGGTGAAATGACATCCTCAAATCACTCCACTAATTCGATTGTGCTGGGGTCTAAGACTGTTTCTGTTTCTTTTGATTTGCTAATTAGCCAGAGTTGTCTGCTTGGGAGAGAGGAAGCTAGGTTCATGTCCACAAACATGAAGGCTGGGGCATCCTTCCAACTCAGCTGGCCATCACATGCCTACCCTGCAGACCACCCCAAATCCCAATCTGGCTAGACTCACATACAAACAATCCACCCTTCTGTGATTAAGCAGTGATGTGATGCTTTTCTCTGAAAACATGACCTGATTTCTTCTTGTCTTGTGTGATCACAAAGCTAAATTTGGATTTTTGACTCTATAAGCCCCTTCATTTTCATATGCTAGGATTTAAAACTGGTTGAAATTCCTACCACAACCACCAAAAGTCACACCACCTTAGTCCCAAAGGTGGCTTCAACGGCTGAAGGTGACGGTTTGGGTTTTTGTTTGTTTGTTTGTTTTGTTTTTTTATAGGTGAGCCCAGGGGAAGGTCTTTGGGCCACTGAGGTTGGGCCCAGGAATGGGATTAAGATGGTTCTCTGAGGATGCCTTAGTAATTCTCCCAAGAGTTGTTAAAATGGCAGTAAACCCACAGAAGTTTGAGGACAAGTCTGAGTTCTAGTTCCCTGTGTCACTCACATAAAATCTGGGCAGGATAAAATCCCAGTGCTGGAATGGGGCAGCAAGAGTGGCAGAGACAGACTTACTGATCAGCCAGTCTAGCAGAAATGGCAAGCTTGGGTTCAATGAGAGTACTTGACTCAAAAAATATGGTGGGAAACAATGGAGGAGGATACTTAATGTCCTCTGGCTTCCACATGAGCACATATAGACATAGGCAAGCACGTCTTCACACACACATTCATATATTATTCTCATCCACAGGGATACAAACATATACACACGCACATACCACACCCATAC